CTTCATTTACATCTTCATGCATTATTGATGGGCCTTTAAGTAGCATCCTAATTGATTGTAGCCTTGGAAAACTGTTTTAGTCGTATTTATAATTCATCATTATCTTATTCGCTAACAACGAGGATCTATCGTCAGAATGACAGTGCAAAAACGAATGTGAAACTGTAGCGCGCGTGCAAACGCTAATGGTGTCACGAACAGAGCATGATAAAGATTATTGCTATTCGAAAAAACTGCAAGACAAGGCAACAGTCGCGCATGCCTACTATGCTGTTCAGAAGAGATGCGCTGACAATTATAAATATTCAGATTAAAATTCTTATAAATACCGCACCTACACTTCGCCCTACATTAGATATCGCAAAGAATAGTATTGTATGGTTGGTCGTATGCGTTCCCAAAATCTTTTAAAGTCGAGAGAATTCGTTTTGAAGGACATTAGGATTACGGTTATTAATGTTGCACATGGCTTTATTGTTGGCGTGAAGTACTGGCACAAAGATATTTCTAACACTGTTGGGAAGTTGTCTGATGAATTTGTCTAGTCTGTTCACTTATGAAAACCGGTCGATGGTTAAGTTTAATGACAAAGTTGGTAAGTGCTCAGAGGCAGCGATGAAGCCATTTAGTACTTAACTCAAGTCCCAAGTTACACATTGTTAGGTCTTGTGAAGAAATTACCATAAAGTTCAGATGCAGCGCTAAAGCCATAGGCGGCTTAGCGCCATATCTTTTCGTGCTGTTACACACATTTGTTTGCCAGTAAAAATTTAGTTCATGTCTTTTGAAATAAAACAATAAAGCTTGAAAAGAACTCGGAGTTAGAACAGAAATCACATTTTTCTTTGTACACTCCGTTTCAAGCTCCCCAGACCTGACTAGTTACAAAGGCTAACTTCCACTGTGTTTGAATTCATTACCATTGATTGAATATGAATAGTAACTGATTCTTGTACAAAATACCATTATTCGTTACCTTTAAAGGATGAGACAATACTAGTGAGTAGAATAGAATACAGTTTCGCTTAAAGATATTCCAGGAAAAGAAGGTTTATCAAGTCAATCTCTGGCAATCCGTTAAAGAAAATGCAGATCAGTGCGGCTCCTAAAAGAGAATATGCAAGTTGGTTGAATTGTTTGTTTAGATTGGCCCGAAAGTTGCTTTTCAAAGAGCAAAATTTTTTTATGCAAAGAGCAGTCGACATTTGTTTATGAAACAGTAAATTTTAACATTGAGCTCAGGCATGAAAGAGTCAGTTTCGGTTTTCTCACCCCTTATTTCTCCTTTTTTTCAGAAATTTCGATTTCTTCTTGGAAATAAACACGCACACATTCTTATGACATTATTAAATTATTCAAACTATTTTTGACGAGGATACTCCTATAATTCCTTTTAGAAATTATTCAAATAGATTTAGACAGGTAACAAAGGCACTTAAAAATCAGCTCTTACAACGCTCCTAATAGTGTCCCAAGTGGAAACTACTTCGAATTAATTTTAGTTACTTTATAGACTCATGCTGGTTGTAATCCCATCAATTCCTTGGTTTTGTATTATCAAATTTTCGCATTTATATGTATTCATTTTCATGCGCATTCAATAAAAAAAAATCAAATTTAACGATTTTTTTTCCAAATATAGCTTTTAGATAAACATTTGCGACGAGACGCTCTAGAGTTTGATTTATTGTTATTGTTGCAAAAATCATGTTTAGTGATGGTTACGCTATAGATCAAGGTAACGGCGACGATAAACATTTCTCATCGGTCATACAACAATTTGGGTCATACAACGAATTACACTGCATACATCATTAGAAGAAGATATCAGTAAATTTTGCATCTTTCATTCATTTCCAAAAAAAATTGTTGGGCGAGTATATGATAGTAGGAGCATTAAACAAATAGTAGATAGGCCCATTTTATAACTTTACCCGAAATGGCTTGCTGGGGCTGATGGGAATTAATTTTATGACCGCTCTTGATACTGTGGAATAGAGACATTCTCCATTTCCCACAATTTGTTCCCTCCTCCAAGGACTACTTAATTTGTTCGGGTATAAGCCGCTCGTGCTTGAGTTGTAGGTGAGCTGCCGGTCATAAGATAATCTCCGCGAAATCACTTCGTAAAATATAATTGGTTTTTTCTAGTATGAAAAAATAATATATCGTCAAAAGTTAATAAACATGCTAACCTAGCCGCAGTTTTGAAATTGGTTTAGGTTAAATATTGGAAACCTCTGTTTAAAAAAAATCAATACTGTGTAAAAGGTGTTTTTCTGACGGAGGTGATATGAGGGCGAATCAAGATTGCTCACCGAGGGAGTTTGACCAGGAACAAGATGATAAGGCTTGAGTAGTTTGTTTTGTTGACTATTAGGTGATATTAGTTGCTGTATTTTTATGCGGTCTACTGATTTACAACCAACAGGTAATTTGTTTTTGGAATGCATAGCTGAAAAGAAGAAAGAACACATGCAAGAGAGAATCGGCTTTCTATGGGATGAGCATGCGGCCTCGAAAAGGTTCGTATATTCATCTAAACAGAGACTTCTATTCCAACTACTCTGTTGTTAATTGGGATCTTGACTGGTTTGGCTTAACCACTTCAATTTTTTAGGCTTCATGTCTTTTGTTATTTCATAGTTGGTGCAGATGAGCTAGCTATTTTTGAGAAAAACATCTTTCAATTGTTTGTCTTTCTTAGAAGTGGCATGTGTCGCACAAAACTTCAAATCACATTTTCGTGGAACTGTTCTTAAACCGTCTGCCCCGTTGAAGTCCTTATTAAGGAAGATACAGTATGTAACACGGTACTGCTTATTGGGATCTTGCAAAAGTTTCAATAAATTTCCCATTTTAGGTATCTGATATCCAGAGAGATAGTGTATTTTAGCTTCAAACACACCATTAAATTTTTTTACCAAATCTAAATCTGTGAAGACTAGGAATAACCTTTGTGAAGGACTTTTGTAAAAACCAAATCCCGTATTCATGTCCGACTTTCCCTTTCAACCTAAGCCATATATGAAATAATGGTATTCAAAACCCAGTAGGTATTTTTTTTCTTCTTTGGCAAAATATATCTACCATGGGTTCTCTAGGGTGTAAGGTTGACAATGATAATTTAAGCATTTATTAGAGCAAACAGCCACAATTCAACTTAAAACTATTTACATACACTCAATATCATCTGAGCGATTACTGGCAAACTTATTATAAGTTCACATTGCGACCGTATTTAAGCGTGTAAGACAAAATCGATGGGATAACATTATTAGTT